GCCGTTCTGGACTCTCACACTGAAGTCCCAGACCTGAAGCCCCATGAAAGGACCTGGGTGGGTAGGTGTGGGTGGGTAGTCACGGGTCGGGGTGTAGACAAGGAGCACTCAAGGAATGGAGTTGAAGGAGGTTGGGTTTTCCCAAGGTCATGTCCCTTATTGGACCATGGAGGGGGAGCAGGAGTGAGCCCTGGAGCAGGGGTAGCTGCAGGACCCTGTAGCCACTTCTTTTTCTGGGGAGCAGCAGCAGACATGCCAGATGGAGCGGAGTGGTGGGGGAACCCCGGCAAGGGGCAGCAAGATGGAGAGGTCAGAGGCGAAGCCTGGACACTGCAGAGGGTCGCGAGGACTCCGCTTCGGCCAGGCCGGCCCTCCCTACCTGCCCCCATCCCACGCCAGGCATCACGGTTCCACTCTGCAGGGCAGGAGCAGTGCCCTGCCTCCCCCTGTCCCCTGCACCCCAGCACCGAGGCTCCCTGGCTGTCTTTGAGACTTGGGGCCCAGGTGCAGGCAGGACTCCTCCATAGATGCCCCGGGAAAGCAAGTAAAGTAAGTAAAGCATGCGCGAGTCAGGCAAGCGCTGGGCCGTGGCTGCTGCCCCTACCCTTGGGCCAGGTCTCTCCCGCCTGCACCTGGGACCAGCCCCAGGGCTGCCCCTGCACCCACCTGGGATGTGGTGAATCACTTTCACCTGCCTGTGGGCCGAGTGCATCTATAACTGGAGGGCGCTTGTCTTCTGGCCTGTGCCTGAGAGGAGGAAGAGCTGCAAGGAGGCAGAGTGGGGTTGGGAGGTGGGGGTGAGTCGGTCTCCCCCTCCCGGAAACAGGCTGCTGTTTTGTGTGGGCTCCAGCCTCGGGCCCTAAGGAATCTGGCGTGGAAGGCTGGCCCACCCTGGCTCCGTCCTCTCCCGAGCTGGGCCTGGCCTCAAGAGGCTTCCTGAGCTCTCCCCACAGTGTCCGCAGCTTCCCGTTGTGTCTGGGTGTAGCCAAGGGCAGCTGAGGGGAGCGAGAGGCTCCCTGTACCCCTGCTCCCATTTTCGCCTGGAAGAACCCCCCCCCAAACTGCCCTGGCCCGGCAGCACCCCCAGCCAGCTAAGTCAGGATTGCTGGGCCGCGGGGTGGGCAGGGGCTTTGCGTGAAGTTCTGGGTGCTTCTGGCTCAGGCCACAGGGCTGGCCCCGGGGAGGCAGACTCTCCTCCTGCAGGCAAACACTCTCCAAGTGGCCAGGTTGGGGCTGGAACTCGTGCTGTGTTTTCGCGGGGCGCGGGGCGTAGGTGCTGATGAGTGGACCTTGCTTGGAGCCCAGCTGCTTTCAGAGAGGATCGAGAACTCCCGAGAACGGGCGGTTTCCGGCTCTGGACTGCCCACGAGTTCCCTGGTGGTGCTGCTGTCCTGGTCGGGCACCGCACAGGCCTGAGAGTGTCCATGCAGAATTGGGCTCTCTGAGACCTCTGGGGCCCTGCATGTCTAGAACAATCGGCGCTTGTGTGTCCTGGGCAGCCCTGTGGGGTCCCGAGCGGGCACGTCTGTGGGAGTTGGCTCCTCCGGGGTGGGGAGGGGAGAGCATGTCTCGTGTACAGCACTTTCCGCAAGTGCCCGTTGCATCCTCCCAGCAAGTCTCGGACGTAGCACACCCTGTGCCCATTCCATGGGTAGGGAAATGAAGGCTCTGAGAGGTTGAGGATCCTGACAGAGCTCCGAGTGGCCAGGCCAAGCTCAGGATCAGGTCTCCTGGGCTGCCTTTGCGGCCATCCTGGCACTGCCACCATCTCGCTGTGTGATCCGGGCCGGTTACTTCATCCCTCTGTGCCTTGTCCTCATCTGCAGCATGTGGAGAATAATGGCTTTTGTGAGGGTTCTCATGAGGATTAACGAGATGATTCGGTACTAGCATTGGTTTCATTGACGGCTCGTGGACGTACTCCTTCTGAGCTTTGTTTCTTATTATGATAGAACTTTTGCTGTGACTCCCCTGCCCAAGACAGGAGCCCAGATCCTGGGGGCGCCACTCGGAGGGGTACTTCCTTGAGAAGGGGGCTGGTCGGGGACAATGACACACAGGAGTATGGCCACGGATGGCAGTTCCTGCTCTGCTGGGAAGGGAGAGGAGGACGCCATGTGCAAGAACAGAGGGGGTCAGGTGGGGCGGCCAGCGGAAATGCCGGGCAGGTAGAGGGCTTGGCGGGGGTTGTCCTCATCCCCACTCAATGGCTGTGGAAATTGAGGCGGGTTAGACTTGGCCAGGGGCAAGGAGCTGGCTGTTGCAGAGTGGGATTCAAACCTGAGGGTGCTCTCTTTGCCCACTTGGTGCTGCACCTGGAGACCCCTCAGTGCTCATGGCTGGGGTGGGGGCTCTGTTAGGGGCTGAGTGGCCCCCGGGACCCCTGAGCTCAGGGAGAGAGGAGTACATGTAGGCAGGGAGCATCCCCGGTCGGTCCCTGGGCAGGGGAGATGCGGGGGTGGACCCTATAGCTCCCTGCTGTCTGAGTGGGTTCCAGACCCTTGCTTCAAAGCCTGCCTTCTCAGGGGACCCGTGGTGGTGGCTGTGGCTCCATCCACAGGCCCAGCCCTGGGCTTCAGACTCTCTAGCGTGGCTTTATAAAAAGGGCTGATTTCCAAACTCAGCCTCTTTGCAGTAAAGAAAACGAGGTTATTTTAAAAATGACAAAATGAATGTACCATTTAGACAAGTTACCAAATAGCTTACAAATGTATAGAATGGAAAGTGAAAGTCTCCTTCTCCAGCTCCTTTGCAGTAAACTCTATAACTGGTCTGTGGTGGTGGACGGCCACGTGTTTCTGTGTGTTTATGTAAACTCATGTTGATGTCATTGAAAAATGGGCAATCCAGGATCTCATGCAGTTGGGAAGTTCAGTTATGGGGTCCTGAGCCCAGCTGCTGAAGGAAGGACCACCACCCCAAGCCAAAGGGATGGGCCTTTCCTGGTAGCTCCTTCTGTGGCTTGCTGGTCTGGTCTGGTCTGGTCTGGGTGTGGGTGGGGTGCCCTGGAGGACTGAGACCCCCGTGAGGCTGAGGATCCTTGGGGGAGGAGCAGGGTGAGGACTCCTGGGCCATGGGCAGGGGGCTGCCTAAGACACATGGATTTGGGCAGCCTCAGGAGCCCCCGCAGATGGCTTGCTAAGACAGATCAAGGACCGGGCCTGCGTTTCTGACTTGGCGGGTCTGGGGCAGGGCCTGAGAATGTGCATTCTGATGTGTGTTGAGGGGTGTGTTCCGTGAGTCTGAAGCCGTGTCCCCAGGTGGGGCAGCTGAGCCTAGGGACCAAGAGTATTTCAATCCCTCGGGCTTTCCTTGAGCTCTTACTCTCCTTCCAGAAGATTTTTTGGGAACTCTAAGGCACCCTTCAGGTGTTTGGCCTTAGCCTACGTTATTTGGGCCGAGTGCCCTTTTTCCCATGTGAAGCTCGGCTGATGGGCTGTAGGCTGGGAGTCGGATCTCATTGTGTGGACCTTGGAGTGCACTGGCCCTGGGCTGTATCATGACAAACATAATCATGACTACCGTTTGCTCGCACAGTGGGGAAACTGAGGCCACATTGGCTCAGAAGCTTGCCCCGGTTTGGGTCAGAAAGCAGGCCAGGGCTGGAGAAGCAGCTGCAGCAGCGGCGGCGGTGAGCGCTGGGAAGCCCACGGAGGGTGTATGGGGAGGCAACCTCCAGCGCTCTGGAGGTGGGGCCGCGTAGCTGCCTGGAGAGGTGGGGGCCGGGCGGTGGGCCTGCTGGCTGGTGTTCATCAGACATGGGAGCCAGCACAGGAAGGTGCCCGTTCGTCCACTCCTGCTCTCTACGCGGGGTGAGGGTGGGACAAGCCAGTAGCACAGGCCGCTGAGCTGCAGGAGGGAGAGAACTCATGGGGCACCAGCTTTTGAGGCCTTGTGGCCAGTGTGCCTCACTGATCCCCACGCGGCACCTCCCAGGCACAGCTGCCCTGGGCAATGGGAAACTGAGGCCCAAGAGGGCTGCAGACTCTCCTAGGCCTCAGGAAGACTTCCCCTACAGGCTCTATTGCAGTGGGAGGTGGGCACCCTCATCCTCCTGGTCATGCCAGGCCACTGTGGGTGGCCCCAGCTTGGGGGGCCACTGAGCAACCCCCAGGCTGCTATCTGACACATATATCTAATAGGGGTTTCAAATTCAGCATGTCGAAAAGCAAGTTCCAGGTCTTTCCCCAGAACCTGCCCTCATGTTCTTCCCCATGCTGGTCAGTCACTCAGGCCCAAGGCCATCCTTCATAGCATCCAGTGTCAACCCTGCTCTCCTCCTCTGCTACCACCTGACCTGAGCAGTCTCTTCCTGGAATACGGCAAAACCCACCAATTGGTTTTCAGATCCCTCCCTCACTGGGTCTCCACATAACAGAAATAGTGACCTTCACCCTGAGTCAGTTCGTTGTTGTGCTCAGAGTCGCCCTGTGTCCTGTTTCACTCAGAGGAAGAGCACATGGCCCCCTAGTCTCCGGTTGTGCATAGTCTGGTTTGTTTCTCCTCAGACTGTTCTCCCTACTTCTTCCCTTCAACATACACTGGCCTCAGGATCTTGGCACCTACTATCCCTTTTGCCTAGAATGTTCCTTTCTTATTGTAGGATGCTGCATGACTAACACCGTCAGTCTAATGGTACCTAACCTGAGACTGCCTTGACCACCCCTACATTGCTTCATGTTCTCCTCCGTAGTTTCTCTTCTTCCACTAGAATGTAACCCCAGGAAGCAGCGTTCTGTGTGTCTAGGCTCCAGCAGTGAGGCCTGGTATGCACAGAGCAGGTGTTGGAGAAACATTTATCAGACCAGTGGCTGGAGGGCTGCCAAAGAGCCTGTCTGCCCACCCGAGCTGAACTCTATTATCCACCCTTGGGTGGGGTGCCGCTCCTGGCCCTGCTGGGGCTTGCACTGTGCCCCTGCACACACTCAGGATGCAGACTGACCTGGGAGGAGGAGGGCCTAGTGGCTGGGCCTGTGATACCTTTTTCTTTTTCCCAGGAAACTATGCCCCAGACATCCGTTGTCTTCTCCAGCATACTTGGGCCCAGCTGTAGTGGACAGGTGCAGCCCGGCATGGGGGAGCGAGGAAGTGGGGCCAGCAGCTCAGGGGACCTCGTCTTCCAAGAAGGACGCCTCATCTCTGGATCCCTGGAGGCCTTGATGGAGCACCTGGTCCCCACAGTGGACTATTACCCGGATGTGAGTGTTTAGGCCCTGGAGGTGGGTGGGACTGCTGGGGGGCCACCAAGGTTCTAGGAGAGGTTGCTTCTGGGATGGGGAGGGAGCCCCAGACAGAGCAGGGGAGGGGCAGGCATCAGGGATCCTCAGCCCCCCTGCCCCTAGCCTAGGGGAGAGGAACCTGCAGTGACTTCCCTGCTGAACCTGGGCAGCTGGGAGAGGGCTTTGATGGCACAAGGAAGCAGATACATAAGGGGGTGGGACAGGGACCTGAACTCTGGACAGGGTCCTCAGGTAGGAAGAGGAGTCTCAGGGATAAGGCTGGTTATCTTGGGATCCTGTTAAGAGTCCGCACAGCATGTGTCCTGTCCCTGAGCTGGGAAGTTTGTTTTGTGCAAGAACTGCCATAGTCCAGAAAGAGGGGAGACAGCCCTGCCATGCCTGGCCAGCATGCAGACCCCAAAGCACATGCGTGCATGGGTAGGACTGACCTTCAGCAGCAACTCAAATCCTCCCTCTTCACTTCAAGATGTCATCGGTACATTCTTAGAACAGAGAGAAAGAGTTCTCTTTGTGGCTTCCCTTTTGCCTCAGACAGGGGGCATCTCTTAGCAGCAGTGGTGTTGGGCCTGCCTGCTCCCTTTGGAGGGTCAAGCTGCAAAGGCTGCCTGCCGCCTCCCTCCTGAGGGCAGAACTGTGCTCACTGGCCTTGGCAAGTCAGACACTGTTGCCTGGGAGGTTGGGGAGGGAGTGTCCCCCCTCCACTCTCCAGCTTGTATCTAATGGTGCTGGAGCCAACTCTGCTTCCAGGTGTTCCTGTCCCACGCCCCCAACATGTCACGCCTCCCACCTCTCTCCAGGGGTTCTGTCCACTCCATCCCACTTGAAAACCCTCCCAGAGCTAGACGGGGCTGGTATTGGTGGTGCAGACCTGGCAGCTGAGGGCCAGGTGGCAGGGCCAGGAGAGAGGCCTTGAGGCTCTGAAGAAGCCTGGGGCAGGGTACCAACCTCCCAGGGGCTGGCCCCTCCAACCCCAGCTCTGCTGTCACCCAAACACTCTGTCCTGGGGTCACAGCCTGCTTCCCAGGAGACTGTAAAGGGGTGGTGGAGCAAAAGGGTAGGGGTGGGGAGCCCAGCGGGGTGCCAGCTCGTCTGCCAAGTTCCTGGATTTCCCCTAGCCTTCCCCGGCTGCCTCTGCCCCATGTATGTGTGCAGCTGGGGATGCGAGCACGCCAGCAGATCTGTGTGCTCCTCGGAAATGCAGGGCTCCTCCCTGTGTGCCCTTCTTGCCTTGGCTAAGAACTCCCAGGTGTGATGTTTGGGTGACTATCATCACACGTCTGAGCCATCTGTTTGGGAGGGGGCCACTGACGAGCTGGGATCTCTGAGCACCCACGCCGCACAGCCTGGGGACAGGACATGCGATGTGTTGTGTATAGGGGGGAGGTTAGAGGAACCTCTGCTGTTCCCAGGAGAGTTTTCTCCAGCGGCCTCTGAAGGCTGCATGAGGGCCTGAGCTTCTGAGTCCCGAGTCTTGTTCCACAAGACCTGTGCTCTCAGCAAACATGGCCCAGCCTGCTTTGGACTGTCATGAAGAAGACCTGTCCCTTTGGGCCCAGAGTGGGGGTGAAGGGTGGCAGGCCCCCCAGCCTGCAGCAGCCATGTAGGGGTAGACTCCCCAGGAGAGTTCCAAGAAGCTTCTCTCCTCCCAAGTCCAACCTGTCTGTAGGCCGGGCCGATGTGGAGCCCCAGCTCACAGGTGCTGACTGGTGTCAGACAAAATGCTTCAGAAAACCCTGGGCCCTGCTCCCTTTTAGTTCAGATCATGAGGACCCCTCAGAACGTGTATTACATGGCCCAGTGACAAGGGCACAGGATGTGGGACAGAGGAGTCTTGGTGTGCCAGGGGGAGATAAGGTCCACAGTTCGGTTAGTGACAGTCCCCTATTGCTGGGTGCCGGCTCCAAGATGGCCCACCCTTCCCCCGACTGGCAAGGTCAGTGACAATCTGGAGAATGCACGCTTGGAGCCTGGCCCTGGGAGCAGTGTGGACTGGGCTATAGGCTCACACAGGTTGGGAGAATCCCACCAACATCCAAGCTTGGGTGTTCTCTCCCATCGTGGGGTAGGACAGAGGGTGGGGTAAAATCTTAGAGCAGGGCTGCTGGGGGCTGAGCTTGTCAGGGGAAGCCTCCAGGAAGTGGGATTTGATCTGTGCCTTGCCAGGGTTGGGGTTGGGGGGGGGCAGGACTTGGGTAGCAGTGAGAGAAAAGGAAGGGGATTCAAGGTGCAGTGAACTACGCAGGGGAAGGCGTGGCTGCAGGCTGGTGCTGCTGGGCCTGGGAGGTGGCGGGACAGGCTCTGACCATACTTGGGTGGCGGGGGGGTCACACCAGGCCTGACCTAGTCTTCATTCTCTCTCCTTGTCTCTTTTCTTTAGAGGACATACATCTTTACATTTCTCTTGAGCTCCCGGGTCTTCATCCCTCCTCATGACCTGCTGGCCCGTGTGGGGCAGATCTGTCTGGAGCAGAGGCAACAGCTGGAGACAGGGTCTGAGAAGGTAACGGGTGCTGATGGGGGCTACCTGTCTCTGTGCCCCCAGCTCCCACCTTGCTCACACTTGGGAGAGAAGCGTGTTCGGAGCCAGCTGGCAGGACAGGTCTGGCTGAGCCCAGCTGAGGGCCTTCCCGATCTGGGCAAGGTTGGCTTGTGTCTGGCCCCCTTGGCATCCCTTGGCACCCCAGGGCTTGGCTCACCATGGGGCATAGGGAGCACACAGAGCCAAGCACTCTTTATGGGATGCGGAAAGTAACTGTACCTGGGGGGCACTCACACCTCTTTCCAGGAAAGGGCCATAGCCAAACAGCGTGCCAGGAATCCTGGTCAGCGTCGGGCCTCCCCCAGCTGGTAGAAAAGCCATGCTCTGTGGGTGGATGTCAGTTGGTAGCACTCTCAGGCTGACTCCTGCTCACAGTGGTTTCAATGACTTCAATAGGGCTCTTTGCCCCTGTTGTCTCTTCTGAGGCAGGCTTTGGGTGGCCAGGATAGCTGAGGCATGTGCTTCAGAGGAGGCTTTTAGAAGCCCAGTCTGGTGCAGGAGACGGGGTGGTAGGCATGCAGCCCAAGAACCGGCAGGGCCAAGTCTGGCCTGCAGCAGAGCACATCCTGCCCCCATTTGCTGATGACTTTGTCCTCTACCTTCCCTCCACCAGGACAGGCCTCCTGTCCTTGTGGGTTTGCAGCACAGGCCTCTGAACTGTCTCATTAGAGGAGGCCGTCCCAGGGTGCAAAAAGACAGGCACTGATCGCACAGGATTAGGAAAGGCTCCTGGAGAGACAGGTGGAAATAAGGCCAAGTGGGGTGGGCGGGGAGAGGAAATTATAGGCGTTAGATCAGTGTGGGGACAGTAGAAGTGTGAGAGGAGCCTGGGGTGAGCCTGCCAGTTCATGGTGACATGCACTGCAGGGCCACTGAGTTCAAGGCTCTAGCTCCTGAGTGTGGGGTGCTGTGGTCATCTGGGGGAAGTGTCCTCAAGGCCTCCTGGATGCCAGAAGCACTGGGCTCTGGAGAGGAGGACTGGCTGCAGGGAGTGAGGTGGCCAGCTGGGAGAGGCTCTGGAGGGCATGAGACGCCATTGCCAGGGAACCAGGTGGGTATGTGGCCAGGATCAGGCAGGCTGGATGCAGCTCAGCAGGGGTGGGGCAGGTGTGGGCAAAAAGATGTGGGGGATGAGTTGCTAGAGGCCCACAGGGCCGCAAGAACCATCCAGGTCGGGCAAGTACAGGCAGGCAAGGAGCTGGTCAGTGCTGAGGAGGAACCATGGTGGGCACAGAAGGGGTGTGGGCACATGTGGTCATTACAGTGGGACAGTGTGGGGCTGGGCACTGAGGACCAGCTGGGACAGCCCCAAGCCTTTGGGACACCCACCTCAGGCCTTACATGTGTGGACCCAGGGCAACAGCAGGGGGCCCGCCCATCTTTAATGACATCTAGTCAGGAGAGAGATGCCTCTGAGTGTCTACGCCCCTTCCTAGCACTTGTTAACCTGCTTTTAACTGAGAGCGGACAAGCGAGAGACTCTCGTTTTTAATAATTTTACTTGGTTCTTGTTGTTGTTTTAAATGGGTAACTTCTAATTATAGCAAAGGAAACTAGTTTACCATGTCATGGAGAAAGGACAAATTTTTTTGAAAATGGATTTATTTAAGTGAAAGAGAGCTGAACTAAGGGGAATATGAAACAGCAGTTTTAAGAAAACCATAGGTGGACAGGGTGGGGGATGCCCTGCCTAACAACCTCACCCCAATGCAGGGGAGGGCAGGTCATGCAGGCGGTAATTGGGGGTGGGGGGAGATGGGGAGGTTTGTATCACTTGTCATCTTCTTGCCTGCTCTGGGAGGTGACTTTACTCTATGTCCCGCTGCCCCAGGCCAAGCTGAAGTCCTTCTCAGCCAAGATTGTACAGCTGTTAAAGGAGTGGACAGAGGCTTTCCCCTATGACTTCCAGGATGAGAAGGCCATGGCCGAACTGAAAGCCATCACCCACCGGGTCACACAGTGTGATGAGGTGAGGTCTTCCTTGGACTCTGGCAGATCTTCTTGGGTATATGATTGGGGGAGGGGGCTTACCCTCACAGAAGGGTGGGTCTTCAGGGACAGCTCTGTATGTGGTCTTCTGTGCTGTCACTGTTCCAAGATGACTGCTGGGTGGCTCTATTTGTGTCCGTCCTCACAAGATGTTCTGGGTTTGGGGTGGGTGCAGTGGGAACCTAGTAAGAGGTTCTAAGAGCCTGTCTGCATTTATGGCCCCCAGCTCACTCCTGGCCTTCTGTGGAGACAGGAAACCTGGGAGGTGCTCTCTGTGCTCAGCAGCTTCTGTCTGGCTGGAGGGCCTGGAAAGCCCAAGGGAGAACTCTGGGCATGGCCAGGGCTGCTCCCGCCCAGGGACTGAAGGTTCCTAGTCATGGAGGAAGCTCTTCCAGATGCTCTCTTCCCTGCTGTGCCCCCGCTCACCCCCTCTGCTGTGGGAAGGCCAAAAGTAGTAGCTCAGGTGGATGCCCCTGGGAAAGCCATGGCTTTCAGACCCAGAGGCCCACCCCACAGGCTAGCTGGCTGAGCCACCCTCCAGGATAAGAGGAGCTCATGCTGTATTTCATTCTGTCCTGAAAGGCCCAAATGCTCATGGCAGGTTTGAGTAGGGACGTGGGTTCAAAGTTAGGCATATCAGGGTGCCTGGGTGGCTCAGCAGGTTAAGCATTAGTCTTTGGTGCAGGTCATGATCCCAGGGTCCTGGGATGGAGCCTCACATTGGGTTCCCTGCACAGCAGGAAGCCTGCTTCTCCCGCTCCCACTCCCTGTTCTCTCTCTGTGTCTCTGTTAAATAAATGGATAAAATCTTTAAAAAATCTTAAAAAAAAGTTAGGTGTATCCTTAGAGAGGAGATGGGTTCCTTGGGAGAGATGGTGGTCTTCCCAGCCCACATCAGCACCTTCACTGTCCCCTCCCCCCACAGGAGAATGGCACAGTGAAGAAGGCCATTGCCCAAATGACACAGAGCCTGCTGCTGTCCCTGGCTGCCCGAAACCAGCTTCAGGAGCTGCGGGAGAAGCTCCGCTCACCAGCCATGGACAAAGGGTCTGTCCTCAAGGCTAAGCCGCCAGCCACTCAGAAGGACATCCTGGGCGTGTGCTGTGACCCTCTGGTGCTGGCCCAGCAGCTGACTCACATTGAGCTGGTCAGTGCTGCAGTGGGGCCCTGCCTGGGGCGGGGGTGTATTCACCAATGCTCACTCAAGGCCCCTGGACTCCCCCAGCATCTTTTTGAAAACAGTGCTGCAGGGCCTCCACTGCTGGTCAGACTGGGTGTTGGGTGAAGTTTACTTGCTAGGTCCAACCACTGCTTCTGGGTCCCCAGGATCCCAGCAACCCTGTACAGGGGCCCCAGGATGGAGGACTGGCCCAGGAGGTGAAGGGATTGTTGGCGGGGGGGAGCCAGTTTCCCCCACCCTGTCCCCTCATCTTGCCTATGCTGTGTGCTGGGAAGGTACCCTGCACCTTTCAGCCACTGCCCCAAGGCTTCCGCCTCACTCACATGAAGCCCTGTTTCCTCCCCTCTCAGGGCAGTGTCTTTCAGACCCCCATGTGTGTGTGTGTGGCGGGGTACATTTGGTGGGGAGAAGCCGGCAGGGCCTACCCACTGGCTGGGTGCCGTGATCAAGGAGGGCCATGGCACACACCTGCAAGGTCCTGACTGCTTCTCTGAACGTGGTCTATACCTTGACTGTGGGGCCTGTGCAAGAATGGCACGCTTGTCACTCTCCTGTGCTGTCTCCTTGCCCATCCTAGGAGAGGGTCAGCAGCATTCACCCTGAGGACCTGATGCAGATTGTCAGCCACATGGACTCTCGGGACAAGCACAGGGTGAGGGGCTGCTGTGGGCTCTGGGGTGGCCTTAGGGTGGGCCTGGTATCTGTATATACCCCGTGCAGGGAAGGGCAGTCTCACAACCAAGTGGATATGGGTCTGGCCTGGTGCCTGCCCCAGGGGGTCAGCAGACAGCAGTGCAGGGTGATACACACTAGAAGGGGGCCACTGCTCCCAGGAGCCCGAGGAGGGGGGCATCCTGGGAGACCTGGACCTGTCCAGTTGTCTACACCCCACCGTCACCTTCTGTCTCTTTTGGCCATGGCTCCTGCTCATTTCTGGGGGGTAGGACTAGGGCAGCACCTGCTGGCAGGGTCCTCAGGCTCCCTGTGACCTGCTGTGTTCCTCCAGTGCCGAGGGGACCTGACCAAGACCTATAGCCTGGAGGCCTATGACAACTGGTTCAACTGCCTTAGCATGCTAGTGGCCACCGAGGTGTGCCGGGTAAGCGCTGCATGGCCCCTGTGGGTGGGGTGGCACTGTTACTTCTCCGAACCCACGGGGCTGCCTGAGGCTCTGACTTCTGTATCCCTCAGATGATGAAAGTGGAGACTGAAGCCTCCATTGCCAGGCCCACCAACATCCCTGTTACCCCGTCCCCAACCCCCCCACCCCCCGGCCTCTGGCCACTCTCACAGTGATTGTGAGACAGCTGTCCATGGAGTGCACCAGCATGGTCTTTGAGTTCATCTGGGGCCCCCCTATCCTCTCGAACTGCTTTCCTGCCCCTCTGCCCAACATCGAAAATGCCACAGCTGCATTCCTACCTCTGCAGCTCATGAGCACCTCCCCAGCCCTGGGTTGGGAGAGCTCTGAGGGCCCAGAGTAGCTCCTCTCCAGGCTGCCATTCAGGGGCGGGTGGTGGAGGGGACGCTCCTGTGGTGGGCTCACCCTGAGGCTGGCTGGCTGCTCTCAAGGTGGTGAAGAAGAAGCACCGGACCCGCATGCTGGAGTTCTTTATTGATGTGGCCCGGGAGTGCTTCAACATCGGGAATTTCAACTCCATGATGGCCATCATCTGTGAGTGTCCAGGCCCCAGGGGCTTCCTGTCCAGCTTCTGCATGGCCTGCCTACCCCCGCCCTGACCCTACCTGCTGTTCCCTGCAGCTGGCATGAACCTCAGTCCTGTGGCGAGGCTGAAGAAAACGTGGTCCAAAGTCAAGACAGCCAAGTTTGACGTCTTAGAGGTAGGCACCTCAGCCTCATCCTGCATTGGCCTGCAGAGGGGTGGACCTACATCATGCTCTGCCCCCTTGCTCAAAACCCACTGAGCACAGTGCCATCTGGTGTAGGGGGGCATGTTGAGCTGGCCTGGCTGCTCTAGGAGGTAGGTAGCTGAAGCCCTCCTTGGCCCTTGGGACTTTAGTCAGCACTGGCATGGCCTAAAGCAAGTTCTGGAGAGTGTTTAGGAAATAGTTTGACAAAAGTGTGCCCATGAGCCCTGTGCTGGGTGATGTTAAGCTGACTGGCCTTTTCCTGGCTTGAATTCCTATGGTCCTGGATCACCTGGGTGGCCCAAGAGTAGACAGGCAGGTTCACTTATAGCCTTCCCCGATTTCTGATCACAGAAGCCACTTTCTGTAACTGTCTCGTGGAAGTTGTCAGCTTTGGGAGGTGTTGGTCCAAGTAGAGGGACAAAGCAAGGTTTTGAAAGAAAGAAGGTGAGACTCAGGCTCAGAAGGGCAGGGGAGGGGTAGGGAAGAGGTGGGTATATGCGTGTGTTCGTGTGTGTGAACTGTGAGACTTCTCTAAAATTCTCCTGCTGATGCTTAGACTCAAACCCTGGACTGAGCCAGGTGCCCACTCCGAGAAAAGGGGCCTCTTCTGATGACCATCCAGGGCTGCCCAGTGGGGAAGGGCCTTCCCATCACTGTTTTCCACTCTGCAAAGGAGCATTCTGAGCAAGTCACAGGGGCAGGGAGAACACTGCCCACCCCGTCTTCCTGTCTGCCCACAGCACCACATGGACCCCTCCAGCAACTTCTGCAACTACCGTACCGCCCTGCAGGGGGCCACACAAAGGTCCCAGATGGCCAACAGCAGCCGAGAGAAGATTGTTATCCCTGTGTTCAACCTTTTTGTTAAGGACATTTACTTCTTGCACAAAATCCATACCAACCACCTTCCCAACGGGCATGTTAACTTCAAGGTGAGCTCAGCCCCCTTGTGATCCTCAGGGATGGGGGGGGCAGAATGTCCCACCACAAGGCAGGACAGACCCCTCAGTCTTATCCTAAGGCAGGCAGAATTTGTCTGTCCCACTAGAGCTGCAAGGCAGTGGCGCTATCAAAGAAAGGCCTTTAGGACTGAAAGCTCCAGGGTGGGTTGTGTGTGCTGTTTGTGAGGTACAAGGGTGTCCCTAATCCTTCTGGGAGGATGATCTGGTAATAAGGCTTGGAGCCACAGGGAATTTGTATTTACCCAGGACCCTGGTCCCAATACTGAGCTCAACAAGGAGACCGAGAAGGGGCTACTCCTGAGGGTTTGGGAGTGAGGAAAGCATTAGGCAAGAAGGGACTTGAGCAGGGCTCCTTGGAGGTAGCAGATTTCCAGATGGAAGCCAAGGGCAGAAAGCAGGACAAAAGTGATTGGGGAGGTGTAGGGGAAGTGGGGTTGTCCAGTGTTTATCTCACATAGGTAAGGGGTCGGAAGGGGTTAAGGATCCCTACACGGCCCCGAAGAGTGAGAGCATGGCATATTCTGGTTGGTGGTGCTCTTGCTGGGTGTGGCTGGCATATCTGCCTCAGCCTGGAGTTCCACATGGGGCCTTCTCAGGTCTTGCACAAGGGAGGCACAGACCCTGCAGCAGCCTGATGACCTAGGCGGAGGGCAGGACAGAGTGGTCTTGGGGTCACTTACCGGCTCTGATGTTGCATCAGGTGCTGCAGTGGCCACAAAGTCAGCTGAGTAGGGTCACTGTCCCATCTTGCTGGGATGCAGAATGAAACCAAAACCTATATCCCTTGCCCTAACGAAGGATTTCAAGCTTAAGGTGACCTATGAACATCTAGTTGGTCTTCTGTATCTTCAGAAATTTTGGGAGATCTCCAGACAGATCCATGAATTCATGACATGGACTCAGGTTGAGTGTCCCTTCGAGAAAGACAAGAAGATTCAGAATTACCTGCTCACGGCACCCATCTACAGCGAGGAAGGTGAGGCCCAGTGCTCTGTGGCAGCACACCCACCTCTCCACATGGTACATGTCACTCTGACTCCCCCACATCCCGAGCCTCTGCCCTCAGGCGGTTGCCCTGGGAAGCAGGCCTGATCACAGTCCCTATGCCACACAGGGGAAGCTCAGCCCATAGGGGTGAGTATATGAGGGTGGGCTGTGGGTGGACAACAGGATGAGGACAAGGAGAGATGGGGCTCTGGAAGCCACCCGAGAGAGCCAGAACAGGGTTAGGTTCATGCTACAGAACCAGGAAATTTCTCAGCCCCTAAGCAGGAAGCTGGCAGCTCTGATGGGGCCTGGAACTCCAGGCAATAGAGACCTGTGATAAGGCTCAGACCTGAGGTCACAGTCTTTGCCTGGGCCCAGCTGCTCCCCTAGAAAGGAAGGGATAACTGGTGTGGTAGGCAGACTGACTGCATGTGGACATGGGTTCTGAGGGGCTTTTCATCTCTCAGCTCTCTTCATCGCCTCCTTTGAAAGTGAAGGTCCTGAAAACCACATGGAAAAAGATAGCTGGAAGACTCTCAGGTAAGAGAGCCCCAGGGATAGGCCTGTGAGCCCTTGAGACCAGTACCATGCCTGGGTCTACATGAAGGGAGAGGACTGGGGAGCATGATGGACATGCCCTTCTGAAAGGCAGCCAGGGGTAACTCCACACAGGCTGCCAGTTGGTGGGAGGCTGAGGGCTTGGGTCTCAGTGTTCCTGACCTTTCCCCTGATGACTGGTTCTTAGAATCCAGGCCCTCCCCAAGTAGCGTGGCCTGCCCTCTGCCTGATCAGGGGAAGGGCCTGCCAACTGCCTCACCATTTCCTTGTGCCCTGCCTACCTCTAGGACCACTCTCCTTAACAGAGCCTGAAGGCATGGATGCAGCCTGCAGACGATGGAGGAAGCACACACGTGCACTGAGTTTGAATCTTGATCGATAAGGGTTGAGATGAGGAGGCCTCACTGGTTGGGGTCCATTTTGTATATAACTTTTATGGAAAAAAAAAAGTAATTATTTCATGCATCAACCTTTGGCACTTACAAGGTTTTCTTTCTTCCTTTTTTTTTTTTTTTTTTTTTGTCATTTATTTTAAAATAACAGGGCAGGGCCCTGATTCGGGAGGGGTGGGAAAGAGTATCATGGGAGATGGCATCCATGATAACATCTTATTCTAATGAAATGTAGATTTTTATTTTCTACTTTTGATTATTAACATCGTATGAAAAAATATTAAAAAAAAAAAACAAAAAAAAAACAACAACCCAACCAAAACCAATGTGAGCCCTGCCTGCTTGGACGCCCTTCCAGCCAGTGTCTCTGATGTCGGGGTTAGTGCCTTAGAGAGTACTGGAGGGCCGGTCTCCCACTCCATTCTTTTAGCCCTCAGGCAGCCAGTGCCGGGGAAATGCCAGGAAAGCTCTGCCCTGGGTGACAAGGCACCCGCTCTCAAAGCCTAGGCCAGAGAGGTTCCAGCAGGAAGGGCTTGGCTGGCCAGGGGGCTTCATTTGCATACTTCTAGAAGCAAACCTTGAGCACAGGCTTTCCAAAGTTTACATTTTCATTTTCCTTTATCAGGGATTTAGGGGGTTGGGGAGGGGCAGGGTGATACCGGGCAGCACATTTTCTGTTGGAATATGTCTGGCAAATTGTTCAACTACATTTTAGGAAAAGAGAAAATCTAAAATAATATCGGGGGGGAGGGTGTGATGGAATTGTCTGTTTTCCAGGCTGTGACAGGTACACTGAGCTGTAATAAAGAGAATACAAAGTAGACTTGAAGGATGGGGACATTTAAAGCAGTTCTTCAAAGTCCAGTACAAAGTGAAAAGAAACAACTCACAAATTGGTATTCTAGTGGACTGCCCTCTCCGTTCTTCTAGGTCAAGGGGCTCCTCTAAGGGAATCTGAAACAAAATTAGACCACACTGCTGGAGCCCACTCCCATAAAACTGCCCAGCATTTGGAGGTATTTTTCACACCCAAACTTGAGGAGTACATTCCATTTTCTGTCTTTCTGGCTGTGGGACGGCAAGTCCTGGTCCCTTAAAAGCCAGAGGTGGGCCATCCCCTCTGACTCTCTCTCCCTCCCTCACAGTGGGGCTTTCACTCTGCACAGGCAGATTTGGGGCTACGCACCTTTATTGCTCTCCACATGCCTGGCTTCCTCCCACAGGAGCCTGAAGCTGAGATGCTTGAGTGAGGATGGGGCAGTTAGCTGCTAATTCCCAAAGCTCCTAGGAGAGCCTGGAGATGTGGTGGTGAGGCCTCAGGAAGGGGTGGCTCCGCGATCCACTGCTGATGGCGCCCTCAGCCCTGGGTGGAGCAAGAATATTCACACTGTATTGTCACAGTGTTTTCGCACTTTTCTGACATTCTAGATAGTACATAGTGTATCTTGATAGTACATATTGCTTTATGTATTTGAGACAAAGGCTAAAAACTCGAGAATATATATTTGGAATACAATGTTAGAACACTTTCCATCTTGCGTTAAGGAGCTTTCATGTCAATGTGCGCTCCACTGGGTCATCAGTTCTAGTACCTACCTGATACAGTGTCTGTGTTTGCTACTTTATTTTCCCAGTTTGATACACACCCTATGATGTTTTGGTATTATGAGATGAACTCTGAGTACAAAGCTGTACCATAACGCAGGATGTCAGTTGTTGGTGTGACTGGACCTACTTGCATCAATAAAAAGAATATGTTGCTCCCCTTGCCTGCCTGCTCTCTGCGCGTAGCTGGCGAGGCCATCAGGAGGTGGCAGGAGGTGTGGGGATGTCTAGGTCCTCCATGGCCTTTCAAGGAATGAGCAAGGAATTCTCATCTACACAACACATTCTGACAAAGGGCTTTTCAAATAAATAATGCAAAATAAGACAAAGCATACAAGACGCATGTTCTAGTCTGCTTTCCTCAAACTGAGATCCAAAAGTGTATCACAAGCTGATTGTATCACATGGCCCTGTAAATTGGGAAATCTAACCTAAATAAGATTGTAAAGGCTCCTTTACTGCAGGACTGATCAGAACTGTCAGTGCCCATGGGCACTGGGTCTCTCCTGGGGCAAGGGAAGTTGGGGACACCTCTGGACATCTTTCTGCAGAACAGTCTGCAGAATGCAGTTCTAGATGGTGCTTTCTGTTGTGCTGAGTCACATTCAAGAACACTAATGAAAGGAATTTGTGGAAAGGGACACATCAGTCTGTGGAATTGAAAGAAGAGAACGGAGACATTAGACTGGAAGGCAAACCCTTACCCGTTCCTCCCCAGCCTGTCCCACAGCCACTCTGTCAACAATGCTCAGGCTGCACGAGCTCTACTCTACAGCTCATGAACCTCACCCTGCTCCCTTAGAGCTAACTCAGTGCATCTGTAAATGCGGTCAGTGTCCGTTATACCCACTGGACCAGCACTGCCCATCAGAAAACTCTTTGTGCTGGAGTGCTCTGTATCTGCACTGCTGCTGGTAACATACAGGTACTGAGCACTGAAGTGTGAAATGTGAAAATGCAACCGAGGAACGGAATTTCTAATTTTATTTAGGGTAAATAGCTAGTGGCCACCTTACTGGACAGAAGGTTAGGCTGGTGGAGCTTTGTCACCTGCTGCCCTTCCAGTGGCTTGTGGAGCGGACAGCGCACAAAAGGTGCTTAGGTGTTTATGGAGCAAAAGAGACATCTATGAGGATGCCTAAATGGGTTTTGGGTAAATGATAACATTTTTTAAGTCTTTATAATTCAATGGAATTCTTAATTTCCTGGTAAAGTTATTTTTGAAAGTTTCTACCTACCTCAGCTGAAGAAGGCGCAGCCCATCATTTGGTGTGTGCCTTTGCCATGGAGCTTGGGCTGGGAGTGGGTGCTGAGCTCACCAGGCTAGCTATGGTGCTGACATTCACCTGTGGGCGAGTCCCTCCAAGGCAGTGCTTCTCAAGTTGTGGCTATTTGACAGCAGTGTCAGCAGCGCTGGAAACTTGCTCGAACTCTTCTCAGGGCCCCACTGCAGGCTCGCTAAAAGGGAAACATGGGGGTGGGAAATTACCACGTTTTCGAAGCTCTCCTGCTGATCCTCATAGCCCACTTCTCCCAGGTGCAGTCAGCTTCGCAGGCACACTGAACCTCCTCTAAAACACTGTGGTCCTGCCCGCATGCACATTCTTCCAGAGTCTCCTTACAGCTTCCCTGGTGAACAGTGCTCTGTGCTCTGGGCCCTACCTGTTCTCTCACGTCATACCACTGGCATCTGTCTTACCCTTACTCTTGGCTTTCTGTGTAGGAGCCACTTGTGTAGCTGTGTGGCCAGCAACTAGCATGGTGTGCAGCTCCTAACACCACCATATGATGACTGAATGCTACCTTTCACTTCACACAGATATTTCAGGAACAAAAATCTATGTTACAGTTTCAGCTATGACAGGAAATAAGCTAAGGATCTCTCCTAAGGCCATAGAGACTTATATGACAAAACTAGATTATTTGTGAAATATATACCACTACACCTGTACATAAAGTATGTGTCATGTTCTCCAGGGAGGCAAGACAGGATAAGCATAAGAGCAAAGGAATCTGAAGCTGAACTATTTGGATTTGAGTCCTAGTTTCTTGTTCCAAGCTGGGTATCCTGGGAAATGTTTACCCTTTAAAGCCTCCATTTTCTCATAACTAAAAGGAAGTTACAATACTCTGTTTCATGGGGTTGTTGTAACGATACATGGCAGAAAGTGCAGTACCTGGTTCATCAGAAGCAGTCAGTGTTAGCTGGGAATTAGCAGCGGCACCCCTGATAAGATTGAACCCCACTTCTGCAGAAAGCAGAATCTCCTGGGAAAAGTAAAACAAAGAATTATAACTGATTTTCTCTAAGGAACAACTGAAGTCCTGGTCAATACAAATACAGTCCAACATTACCAATGATCCACTTAAAGTGTTAAATTTAACAGGTATATAAACATATATGGAAAAAATTCCCACAAATTTGGGATTCAAACTACTTTCTAAATGAAAAATCTACTACCCACATATAGGCTAGTAACCTTATATCATACCAACACAATTTCTCTTTTTATTCCCAGAAAGTAAGTCATGATACTGTGAAGAAGGTGAAGGGCTGCCATCCCTCCTTGCCCAATGATCTATCATAACATACCTTAAACTTAGGTATGGAACTTCAGCAACAATGTTGAGGAAACAGTGTTGTCAGGAATATAAGAAAATTGGGCACCTGGCTGGCTCAGCTGTTGGAGCATATGACTCTTGGTCTTGGGATTCTGAGTTTGAGCCCCACAGTGGGTGTAGAAATTACTTAAAAATAAAATCTTAAAAAAATGTATGAGAAAGTTAGGCACCTATTTCTGGCAGCATTAGACTAAGCGCTTGCCTGTGGAAATCAGCTGCTAAAGTTACGCAAAATGTAAATATCCAAGCAAAACCCCAGAGAGGTTGAAGGAAACTCTGAAGCCAGCTTTTGCCTTGAGGGCAAGGATTATGAGCTTCCATTTTCAAGTCTACATGGGGATAGAGAAGAAAGTTCAGGGCATATTCAAGAAGATGGGTCAAATAGGAGGCCCCAGCCCATAAAGCTGACATCCTAAAGAATGACCCTTCACCATAATAGCGAACTTGCAATAAAATGCTTCTCCCCCAAACCCATTAAAGGGATTAAAGAAAACTGCCTGTTTTGAACCTTGGCACTGAATGGAGGTTGGGAAAATTTACCACTGATAATTTGTAGCCACAAGTCAGTGAATTTCATTAAGTTTTGCAGCAAATATCACATTGGTCAAAAAAACGATAAGCTGAAAATCTAGTTTAATGTGGCTCTGAACTATGGGTACTATCTCTAAGTTAGCCAGCAAAAGCAAACATTCTGAGATTCTAGTTTAAAAAGTCTCTCCTTATTAGATGTGTCCGTTTAATCCACCTGTTGGATTTTTTAAAATTCATTTTCATTTCTTGAAGAACCAAATAAAGGCTCTTCCCCAAATTTGTTTGGTTATAATTCTGAAGAAATTACCAGAGTATAACACAGTGGGAGAAGACTGGAAAATATGAAATGGGTTAAGAAACAAAGGGCATGGTGGACACAACAACAGGTCTAACATGTTCGCAGAGCTTTTGAAAGAAAGAATGATAGAGACAATCAAAATATAATAGCTGAAAATCTTTCAAAATTGATAAAAGAATAATCCAAGGAACCCAAAGAATCTCAAGCAGGATTAGAAGAAAAAAAAAACAAAAACCCAGCACACAGACATATCATAGTGACACAGAAGAGAAATAAAGAGGAGATCCTGAAGGCAACCATGGGAACAAGGGTGATCACTTTTAAAGGAGTATCAACTGTTAAGCTGACAGTTTACTTCATAAGGGAAATAACTGAAGCCAAAAAAAACAGTAGAATAACCTCAAAGTGCTAAATAAAATTCCCAACCCAGAATTCTATACCCTTCAAAAAATATTTTTTAAATAAGACAAAGATACTTACAAACCAAATGGAGTTTGCTGTCAGCAGACCTTCACTAAAAGAGATTCTAAAGTTTGACTCATACACTATATACAAAGATTATTTCCAGACGCATCATAGATCTAAGTATGAAAGGCTCAACAAAGACGAGAAAGGGAGGTTATAGGCAATCTTATGCAATAAAGCATCTAAAAGAAAATATGAAAATTTCTTCTTTACTTTGGATAAAGTTTGCTTTGTCAAAGTTACTTTAGACAAAGGTTTCTTAAATTGGGATACCAAAATCATTAGCCATAAAAGAAAGAAAATAATAAAATGGACATTATTAAAATTAAGAGTTTTTGTTTACTAACAGATACCATTAAGAGAATGAATAGTCCCCTGCCTAGGGGAAAATATTTGCAATACATAAATCTGACAAAAGACTCATATCCAGAATACTGAAGTAAATCCTATCAATTTTAAAAAAGGCAATGAAGGAGTGCCTGGGTGGCTCAGTTGGTTAAGCATCTGCCTTCAGCTCAGGTCATGATCCCAGTGTTCTGGGATTGAGCCCCACATTTGGCTCTTTGCTCAGCAGGAAGCCTGCTTCTCCCCCTGCTTATGCTTTCTCTGTCAAATAAATAAAATCTTTAAATAAAGGGCAATTAAAAAAGCAAAAAAAATTTACTAGGCATTTCACAAAAGAAGATACTCAAATGGCCAATAAGCATATGAAAAGATAATTAATATCATTTCCCTAGTGATAAACTAAACTAATAAAACCAAAATGAAATAACTGTACACACTCAACAGAGATTAAAGAGTCTAAATTGAAAACACTGAAAATACTGTGCTGGGACAATGTGACACAACTGGATCCCTCAAATGTGGCTGGTAGGAATCAGTTATTTACAAGGACTGAAAAAACTGGCCAGCCTCCCACAAGGTTAATGCAGGAAAAACAAAAGGCATAAATAAACAATACCAGGAATGAAAGAAAAGGCTATTCACTATAGATCCTGTACATATTAGAGATAACTAGAGGATATTATAAACAACTTTGTATATTTCATCTAAATTTTCAAATTAATCACCATAAATTCCTAGATCACATCTTAAATAACTCAGTCAAAACAGACTTTTAAAAAAAAAGGTTTATTTCTTTTGGAAAGAGAGAGTGAGAGAGAGTGAGCAAGAGTAGGAGGGGCAGAAGGAGAGGGAGAATCTCAAGCAGACTCCATGCTGAGCAGAGCCCGAATCTGGGCTCAATCTCATGACCCTGAGATCATGACCTGAGCTGAAACCAGGAGTCCGATGCTTACCAATGTGCCATCCAGGTGCCCTAAAACTGACTTTAAAGAAGTAGAAAATCTTAATAGTTCTACAATCATTAAATAAATTGAACTGGTGATCAGAAATCTCCCATTTAGAAAACATCACAGTCAGGTGGCTTTCAGGTAGTTCTGCCAAATATTCAAGGAAGAAGTAATTCCAGTCTTACAAAACTTCTTTAGAAACAGTAAGAAAGAATACCTGTAATGTACTTTACAGGCTAGCATAACCTTAATTAAAAAAAAGCCCAACAAACATAAGAAGGGGGCATTCTTACTCATGAACACGGATGAAAAAACACCTGAAATATATATACATACACACACACCCACCCACATGAGTATATACAGATATGCAAATGAAGTGTGTGTGCGTGCGCACACACACAAACACACACACACACACACCCCAAATCCTGCAATGTATAATAAGAATAATACATCATGAAAGACTGGAGTTTACCCTACGAATGCAAGAAACTTCAGAAAACTGATTAACTCAATTTAATATATCAAAGATGGAAAAAAATCATATGATCATCTCAACAGATACAGTAAAAGTATTTGATAAATGCTCTCAAGCATGATAAAAACTCACTAGGTAGTCTTTTTTAACTTGATAGAAGGTATTTATAAAAACACTTCCAGCAAATACCATACTTACTGATGAAACACTGAGAATGTTCCCCTTGAAAATCAGAAACATGGGCAGGAACTCCACTATTATCACTTCTAGTCAACACTGCATAATAAAATCCCAATAAACACAGTAAGACAAGAAAAATAAAGATATAAAAACTGGAAACAAAATTTTCACTACTCATAGATATATGACTGCATAACAGAAAACATACAACAGAAACTAGAAATACATTACCAGAATTAAGCATTTTGGCAAGGCTGCTGAACCCAAAAGTAATTGGACTTTTAAATACCAGTAAAATATTAAAAAAAAAAAGACAGCTATAATGGCATATAAAATGCAAAGTATGTAGGGAAAATCTATAAAGTAATACATGTAAAACCACTGTGTGAAAAAGTATAAAATTTAAAGACAATAAAGACCTAAACAAACATGTCATGTTCAAGGATTGGGAGACTCTGTATCATAAAGATGTAAATTTTCCCCAAAGTGGTCTTATAGATTCAATGAGATTCCAATCAAATTCATGAAAGTTTTGTGAAATTTAACTAGCTTATTCAAAAATGTATGTCAAAGTGCCAGGGCTACAAAGAACCATGACAATCTTTAAGAATAAGGCAAGTGGACTAGCTCTCAGAGATACTGACTTGTATTAAGCTAAAGTAATTTAGACCATGATGTAAGGTATGGTGATGGACAGAAAGCCTAATTGAACAGATGAGAGCCCAGAATCAGACCTGTGCATTTGGACATCTGATGGATGAGAGTGGTTCTGCAGGTAAAATATGAACTATATTGTAAGGTGATGGTGGAAAAAGTGTAATGCAATCCTTAGCTTGTGTTATACACAAAAAGCTCCTCCAGTTAGGTTAAAGACCTAACTAGGAAAAGCTATAGATGAGGTATTCAGAAGACAATACAGAACACTAGCTTTAAGTTATCTTTCCTTAATATGAGGTCATAAGCCAATAATAAAAAGTAGAATACATAAAGGAAAAAAAATAGTCCCATTAGAGTCAATTTTTATTAATGAAAAAGTACCACCAAGAATCGGAAAAGACAAGCCACGTTCTGGGAAAAGATACTCAACCAACAAGAATTGGTATCCAGAATATGTGAAAAATTCCTAAGAACTGATAATAATGGGCAAGAGGACCGAAATGCAAACTATAACTACAATTCATGCCTAAGGTCTATTAGATTAGCAAGAATTAATAAACCTGACAAAATTAAGTGTTGCCAAGGATGCAAAATGAACTCTCCCACAGTGCTGGAGATGGTCCATTTTGGAAAGGAAACTGAATGTACACACAAACGATGACCCAGCATCATTATTCCTAGAGAAACTCTTGTACACTTATAAGAGACATGTAAAGCAGTATTCATGACAATACTGCTTCTGATAGCAAAAGCAAACAACAAACTATGAACGACCCAAATATCTATAAAAAAATAAAATTACTGAATATTTAGTATATTCATACAGTGGAATACTAGTCAGTAATAAAAATGAATTTTGAGACTAATATGAATGAACCTCAAAAATATAATACTGAATGAAAGTTAGAGAATAGATAATGAAATAATATGCAAATAAATTTAGAAACAGGCAAAACTACATAGTCTTTTGGGTAGAGGTACATAACAGTTGGGAAAACTAAGAAAAACAAATGAAAAATTATCACAGAAATCAGAATGGTCACTATTACAGAGAGTGAGGGTATGTGATCAAGAAGGGGGCCATAAAGGCCTTTCAATGATAATGTTATCTTAATCTGGGTAGCTGTTTGCTTTATTATTCTTTAAAGTACACAATTACATCTTTTATCCTTTTTCATATTTATGGTATTTTGTAACGGAGAGAAATTACTTATCACATTTTCATTTAGCTTTTGGTAATAAAATACTTTATTGGTACCATTTAATGTCAAAAACATAGCATATACTGTTTCCATCACTTAGTTTCTATCTTTAAATTAAAAGCTCACTAAGGTAAAGTCATTTGATTCTGTCAAAAAAACAAGCTGCAACTTACCTTTGCAAATAATTAGCTTCTCTCACTTTAAATACCTACACTCACTGGTCTTCATAATAAATAATTGTATATAAAAAGAGATATTGGCCTTAATAATTCTGCAGAGAACATTTTACACATCTTAAAAAAGCCTAAATGCTACCCAACTTAAAACTTGTACAAATAATTTATTAAGAATTACTGTAAAGTGAATTCATGTAGCACCAAGAAATTTGGGATTTATACTTTAGGTGATAATGATTCACTGAGTAAAAAGAGTAGATTTTTCTTCTGTGAATTCTCAGGGGTTTATATACAAATAGAAAGGATACAATATAGGTCCCTTTTAAAAGCCAAAGGTTCAAAATCTGTGCATGCCTTTCACCATATCTCCAATTTCTGGATCTAGCAATGGACCGTATGGTAAAAGATCCATGTGTGATAAATAACATAGTACAGTCCTATCTGAATATAACTTCTTATTCATCTTGTCTCATTAACATAATTTATACCTCAATTAAAATGTTATTCTATCTGCAGACAATAGATTTCTCTAAAATATTCTGTAATTCGGATTTCTATTCAGACTTTCTCCTTCACCTCTTTTCTCAAGTCAGTATAATTTTATGGTAAACCTCATTAAACTGTTTTTTTTTCTCCCTTCAGTGAAACTCAACTCAAAGTATCATAATATTATAAAAAGAGATGTAGCTTTTGTTAACATATTGTAAAAAGAAGGATAATAAATACATATGGATTCATGCTAAATAAGACAATGCAAAGCAAAAAACACGCAACACCATGCTATGCTCATCTATTCTGAATCACTACAAGAAGGCCCCGATAGCACCCTGGCTCATGTAAACTGATGTTCCCAGATATCATTAGTGCCCTATGCTCCAACATAATTAAATGTTCTATTAAAGACATTTCCATTTTATTTGTTTGTTTAAAACAATTTATAACAATGTTGACTACTAATCCTGATAACAACACATTACAGTTTTAATCAAGTCATAGATTCTAAGCTAAAGTATTTTCTACCATCATCCATTTATTTAAAAACACATTCAGGGAGCTAAGCAACATTCAGTTTAAGGGGTTTTTATTTCTTTTGATTGATTGTGAATTTCAGATGTGTCATTTAGTCATCCTCTGCTTCAATGAAAAAGAATTCTTCAGGCAACTGACTAAAGATCTTAATTTAAAAGCAAGTTGACTTGGTGGTCAGCAGGGGAAGAACCCTTGTCTACACACTGCATCAAATATTACTCTTTCCTCTCTGCAGGAGCTGGATGCTCCTGACCTACCATGAGCATAACACATTCCAACCCTCAACCCATATGCAACCAGGGCACATTAGAACATGGGTACAGGGTAGAAACTAACTCAAAACTACTTTTGGGGCAAACACCAGATTTTGATTTGTCAGCGATTCCATAGTATGGTATGCCCACAAAACAGGCTTTGCACTGAAACACTTGATTTTTTCTTCTCATAACAAGTTAAACTGCTTAAGTAAAGTAATATCAGAAAGAACACAAAAGATAGGCATGTCTTCTCTGAAAGAGGCACTGCATCTGGAATTGGAATTAAGGCTAAATAAATAGTGCTGGTTTGTGGTTCAGACTAATGTGCCAGTGATTATGTTAACCGACAGCTTCACTATTTATCCTGTATGCCTGTTTGTGAAGATGCGTCTCTATCTCCTCCCTGAAGACCAGCATTCCCAGGTGCGAGTGAGAGGCCTCGTTCATGGCTTTGGACTGGATGCACATACGGTACTGCTCAGGAGTCAACTCATCAGCACAGCGTTTCTCATGCCAGAGGTGGAAAAGGCCAGGAACTGGAGTCCGAATCACAATCAGGTCACCATGTAAGTATTTTCGATAAAGATGAACATCTTCTCCACCCCAACCTTTTACTTCCATGTCAAATCCACCTGCAGGATGAAAATTGACACTACAGGTAAATGTCTGACAGCCAGAGCACAGTCAACCCTGATAAGAATTAAGATGTTCTGCTTCAAATGAGATGGCACAGTACAGCCCAATGATATCTGATATAGAGGACTGACATTCTGGTTTGGAAGTCCAGCTAGAAGCTGAGATCTAGGAGCTCAAGCCTGTTGTTCAGAGTATCAAAATAAGATTAAATATTTAAGAATGCTTTGTAAATGTCTAAGTTATATAGAAAATCTAGAGAAAGTCAAAGTAGAAGGAAATAGAAATTATCCATAATTTCAGCACTATTAATATTGTAATTAATACAGTTATCCTTTGAGATACAAGTTTTTCTGGGTCACAGACAACTTTCCAGAGTGGAAAACAGAAGAAATGGCTAGTCTGAACATCCACATTTGAGAATGGACACACAGGTGATTTAAAGTCAAAGGAATGGATGAAATTACTGAAGGAGTTTAGAAAGAAAATATGGCCCAGATCTAAATGTTAAGCAATACCAATATGTACAGGTTAAACATGCAGAGAAAGATAAATCAGCAAGAGACTGAAAAATGGTCCCAGAGGATGGAGAAAATTCTGAAGAATGAGCTATCAGAGAAGTCAAGTGAAAAAAGTGTCTTCAGGAAGAAACGGTCAAGCATGTGCTGCTCAATAAATTAACTAAAAAAAAAAAACAAAACAACCCCAACAACAACTAGTAGACCTAGCAACATAAATATCACTTATAACCTTACCTACTAGAACAATTCTGATGGAGTGATGTGGCAAACGGCTTACTGGACTGGGTGAACACATGAAATGGGAGATAAAATTGAGACTATTTTCAAACTGGCTTAGGATGAACAACAAACTTTCTAAAGCATAGAGAACACAAACCATTTGGAATTTTTGGAGAATTAGCAAAGGTTCTTAAAAACCAAGAACAAATCAATTCTTCAATTAAGAGCTAGGTTTCCAAATTATCTCTTCTATCAAATAATTATATGCTACTTAGTTTCATACTCACAGGATGACAATAATCCTGAGACCTCTGAAAAGTATTACCTTAAATAGTCACAGCTTTACTAAAAGCTATGTCTAATACATACTGGTTTTTCTTCTTTGTAGATAAAAGGTCTTCAAATATTAGAAATGGTGTAGATACTTAAAATAAATGGGGGACTTCCAGTTTCTGGTCCAGCATATATAGGGCTTCAAAGTCATATTGTCCTAACAAGAAGTAAAAAACTAAACTGAAAAATAAACAAATTTTCTCAGATCCCTCAGAGAAATAAGGTCACGAGCAAATTGGAGAGACAGGCAGGTAAAACAGAACCATAACTATGTGAGCAGAAACCCACTACTAGAAATCTCTAGGGGAACCAGTACTAGGGTAGGAAAAAAAAAAATCTGAACTATAGATGATAAATCGCTAGAGGCTCAGAGGACCAAGTCTGAGAGTTGAAAACTCTGGGTCGTAAGAGGGTCCCTATGCATGTGTGAGTTTACCTTTTGGAGCTCTAGCAGGTTCTCACTGTGAAGACTGGAGCAAAATCCCCTAGTGTTTTCAGCAAGGGCAGTGGGAACATAATCATTCTGAAACATGCCAGAGCACTTTATTCTTCTTAACAAGGCCTGCCTTCAGGAGAAACTATTTTACTACAGTCAAACCTACCTGGAGAAAGGACATACTCAACTTCAGCCCACACTAGTCATCCTGTCTCACTTAAGGTTGGGGGGAGTGTCTGAGAAATACTTGTGAGGTTAACGGTCCAGATACATAATCTCACTAAAGGGCTGAGACCTAATCACAGGACTATGGAATGTTTCCTCTTTCTGCACGCCTCACCACCTATTATTAAAGGCCTATTTACTGCAGTTTCCTTTACCCAATATATCATAATCAGCTATGAAGGAAAAAATGAGGCATACCAAAAGACAAAAAACAGATTGAAGACGCAGAGCAAGCATCAGAACCAGACTCAGATATGGCAGGGGTATTGAAATTATCAGCCTGGGAATTTAAAACAACTATAATTGATATGCTAAGGGCTCTAACAGAAAAAGTAGACAACAAGCAAGAACAGATGGGTAATGTAAGCAGAGTGTGACAGATTCTAAGAAAGAATAAAAAAGAAATGCTAAAGATAAACAGTGTAACAAAGGAAGAATGCCTTTGTATTGGCTGAGGAAAGAATCTCTGAGGTTGAAGACATGTCAAGAGAAACTTCCAAAACTGAAAAGGCAAAAGAAAAGCAAAGAGGATGGGGGTGGGGAAGCCAGATCAGAATAGAATTTCTAAGAACTGTATACAAAAGGTATAACATATGTGTAACGGGAATATCAGAAGGAGAGGAAAGAGAGAAAGGAACAGAAGCTCCAAAATGAAAAAGGCCAAATTCCAAACAAGTGCTGCTGAGAAGCCAGGGGCTCCCTTTCTATCCCGCCCATAGTCATAAGGTAGAGGATATACCCCAGGAGGTAGTGGGACCCCTGACCCTCCACCCCATGTCCTACTCATAACACAGGGGAGAGAGAAGTTTGCCACTGTCTCCACCCCCAGCTCCAGAGGAGGCTCGGAGACTTTTCCCTGGGGAGGAGCCAGTGCATAAGAACAGACTGCTCCAAAACTCTTCCCGAAGGAACTGACTTTATTTGAAACAGTGTGCAGAAGTTCAAGCCTAAGGGGGCTCTTGAACATAATAGAGATTTTGGTGGTAAGCAATTAAGAGAAGGCTGATAGCTCCATTAGAGCAATAAGCTAAAATGTAGGCCAGCTAGTTTACTGGAGAGAACAGGGAAAGAGACAGATAAGAAGAACCCTCCTGAGGTCTGAACAAAACTCAAAGATGTGCCTCAAAAACTACCTTGCAAAAGGGTTCAATTTAATTGGGTCAGACTGCAGAGCCATTTTTATGCCCCAGAGTACTGTCAAAAACAAGAGAGCAATGAGTAGAGCCTAACAAGTGGGGGTGTTATCAACAAAGGCACGGAGACCATAAAAGACAGCCCTACTAGGGGCACCTGGGTGGCTGTCGATTGAGCACCTGACTTCAGCTCAGGTCATGACCTCAGGGTCCTGGACTGATCCCTGTGTTGGGCTTCACGCTCAGTGGGGAGTCTGCTTCTCCCTCTCCCTTTGCCCCTCCCTCTGGTCCTCCTCTCTCTCAAATAAAGTCTTTTTATTTTTACTTATTTATCTTAAAAAAGAGAGCCTTACTAAATCCATGTCATCTCAGAGTGACTGTGCCCATGCCCTAAGGAGTGACACGAGAGGCTTCATATTGCCGGGGAAGGGGGAGATAAAATTCATTAAAATAGTAAAGTCAAGTCAATAAACAAGCAAAAAAAAAAAAAAAACAGAACAAAAAACAAGCCCTGGAGTCAGGGGGGAATCAATATCCAGACTCACCATGATATATTACCTAAAATGCCCCGTTTTCAAGAAAAAAATTATGAGGCACATAAAGAATTAGAAAAGTGTGATCCATATACCAGAAAAAGTAGGCAAGAGAAACTGAGGGCCCAGATGTCAATTTCAAAACTATTATAAATATGTTCAAAGAATTAAAAGAAATCATGCTTAAAGAAGTAACAGAAGGCAAGATGATAATGTCTCATTAAATAGAAAATATTAAAGAAGAGAGAGAAATTACATATATAAAAAGAACCAAGGGGAAATTCTGGAGTTATGGGGCGCCTGGGTGGCTCAGCGGTTTAAAACCTCTGCCTTCGGCTCAGGTCATGATGCCGGGGTTCTGGGATCGAGCCCTGCATCGGGCTCTCTGCTCAGCGGGGAGCCTGCTTCCTCCTCTCTCTCTGCCTGCTTCTCTGCCTACTTGTGATCTCTGTCAAATAAATAAATAAAATCTTTAAAAGAAAAATTAAAAAAAAATTCTGGAGTTAAAAAGGACAATGTAAATGAAAAATTCATGAGAGTAGCTCATTAAATCTTAACTAACAAAGAATCAGCAAACTTGAAGACAGACCAATTGAGATTATGCAGTCCAAAGAACAGAGAGAAAAAAAATAATGAAAATTAAAAAAAAGAAAAGAATAATAATAAAAAATAATGAAAAATGAACAGAGTCTCAGAGAAATGTGGAACACTATTAGCTATACCAACACATACCAAATAGGAATATGAGGAAAAAAATAATGAGAAAGGAGCAGTGAGAAATAACACGAGTTAGAAAGCAGTGATGTATCCTTGCTGTTTTACTAATCCAGAAATCAGGGAAAAGGGCATTAGTTTAACTTAATAGTCCTTTTATTACTATTTGCTATTTGCATGATTCAAATGTTACAATGATAAAGAGACAAGGTGGAGGAACTTCCACAATAAATGGCTGATTATAAAAAATAAATGTAAGATGGACTTAAAAAGTACACAAAATATATTCTATTACAAAATATAAAAAAAACCCCAATATATGCATGTGTATATATAGATATGTATGTGTATACATAAGTAAATATGTATATCTATGTATAGATGTATATACATATCTAGATATATATACACACACACACACGCATAAATATATAAAATACATTCTTATATGCTATGGAAGTGTAGCCACCTACTGATTAGGAGACATGGAATCAGGTTTCAGCCTGCTTTCTTAAACTATACTCTGATGCATTTTTTGCTGGGTAAGACTGAAGCTAGAGTGGGGCAGGAGGCTTAGACCAGATTCTTCAGGGTCATTTTGGCTTTAAGGAGTGGATGACTAAGCCAGTGACTCCAAGTCCCCCATTCCAACTTCAACCAGAGCTAGAAAGATAAGCTGTCTTTTCATTTGTTTTAAATACTAGGATTTCATTAACAGTTCAATAGACAATTAAAGAGGGTTTCATCTCTAAATTTAAAAAATGCAAAAGCCCTTGGATTAGATAATCTAACATTACTTCCAGATGTAACAATCTGTGAGCACAACACCAAAGTTATGTAGAGATCTTTTGTAAGAGTATTTGTAACAACTGCAAATATTGGCAACAAACCAAACAGATGATTTTAAAAACTAGTGTTTTGATTTTAAAGAAACAAGTAAATATTCTATTTTACTTTTTTAAAATGATCTCATTTTTGCTACTTAGAGACATTAATTATATATCTATTTTGCCTTTCACACCTCCAGATGCCTCTTTTTAGCTAATCTCATTCATAATTTAAGAGGAAAATACTTGATTCTGAGACCTTTGAGAAAAATGCCATAAGGCACAACAGTAAATATGTACACCCCTCTCCATAAATATAAGGTATACTTACCAATTGTCAGGAAATCTGATCGATACTGACAAGTCATTCCAAAGCCAAAATCTCGCCAAAAGCCAGAATCCTTTTTGTGAACCTTCAGTTAAAAAAAATAAATTCAATTTAATACCTCAAGAACTAGAAGAAGTTTCAATCAACAAAGAAAAAAATTAAAATTTTCCAGATAATAATTTTTCCTGTCATTTCTGTGACTGACAATGGATCACATGCATTCACATGATTAAATCCTTAAAAAAAAAAATCAACAAAAATACAGTACTGTCAGCAAAGGGTTCTTGCCACTTCAATTTAGCTGAATTTAAGCCCTCTGGCAAGATGCAAGCTGGGGTTACTAATAACCAAACAGTATTGTGCCTGAGCTCGAGGAGCTTACATTCCATTCTGGGAGGATAACAGTTGCATAACTCATACTATAATACACTGTAATGAATTCTGCACAGACCTTATTTGGTGCCTATCCAGCATTCACCTCCCTGCCCCTTACCTAACTGTGTACAGTTTTGCTCTGGCAATTACTTGGCTCCATGTAGCCCATGAGCTTCAGGGAAGCTCCTTCCACCCACAGCTTTAGATTGGACCATGCCTGTATCAGTGATACAGTGTCACCCAGTTTTTGCAGGAATTGATTGACTAACAGGAATTAGACAAAATTCAGGCCAACATGGTAAAAGGGGAGGGTTGTTGGGAACTCTGGAAAACAAGGCCCCTTCATTCCTCTGAGAGAACTACTAGAAAAGACACTTGCTTTTTTTGGATGGCGTAGGGCAGGAGTCAGCAAACTACAGCCTCCAGGCTAAATCTGGCCTGCCGCCTGTTTTTGAAAATCATTTATTGGAATACAGCCACACTCATTTGTTTACAAACTGTCTATGTGTATTTCATGGTACAGTGGCATAGCTGAGTAGTTGCAACAGGGATTTAACTATATGGCCTGCAAAGCCAAAATATTTCTCTGTGGCTCTTTACAGAATAAATTTGCCAACTCCTGCTATAGGGTGTAGATGTGAGGTTTGGAATTACTACAGTCCTTTAAAATGAAATTGTCACCACTGAAGTCCAAACAGAGAAATAAAGAGAAAATCAGGGCTTTGATGATATATAACCCCAGAATCAAGTAAAAGTTGACACCTGATAAAGATTCTTTATTTTATTCATGCATTCAGCAAGTGTTTTTACCCATCAGACATGATATTGAGAGCTGGGAACACAGCAATGAATAGAGATGACAAGGTCTCTGCCATCACAGAGCCTCTGTTTTGATGGAAAAATAGCAAATAAATAAATATGTATCTCAGGTGGTAATACATGCTAGGAAGAAAAATATAGTAGGAGAAGGGGAGACCATGAGAGACAGAAAGCCTATTTTGGATATAAAGGCCATATGAGGTCTCCTTGAAGAGATAACGTTCAAGCAGGGACCCTAATGAAATACTGAAGTGAGCTGTGAAATATCTAAAGGAGATCATTCCAGGCAAAGAGGGTAGCATGTATGATGGCTATGAAGCAGAAAGGGAATGAATGGGGCAAGAGCAGAGAAAATAAGGGCAAGAGCAGAGGAATGAGGTCCTGTGGACAAGAAAGGGCTATTAACATTTTTAAAAGATAATTGGTATTACAGTTCTTCTGTATGCATATGGTAATGATCCAGAAGAAGCATAATGCTAGGATAGGAGAGCCTGAAGGATGGCTGGAGGGGAGTGCTTGTTTAGGCATGAGAGATGAGCTCTAGTCCAAGAGAAAAGGACAGATTGGCCTTATGAAGGGATGTGCGCAGTTCCTCCACTGGGAATGGAGAGAGGCTGATGAGTCTTATGATAGAATAAGAAAGTGAAATGTCTGCTTCTCTGTTCTAAGTGAAATATGAAGCAAGGTATGTGGAGAGTGAGAAGTGGTGAGGGGTGTTGGGAGACAAGAGAAGGAGGACAGTATGGCTGGCCTGTAGGATGGACAGTGGGTAGATCATGGTCAGGCACAGATGTGAGGGCAGTTGTGGAACCCTGAGGCCCGTGGTCATGTTTTTAAGGCAGTGGCCCTATAGTGAGACTTTACTATAGGTGTGTTTCTTACCCTCCCTATTCCACTGCTCAAGGGCCTGTGTAAGAGTTGCCCTTAACCAGGCTGGGGTTCTAAGAGAAAACACTAGACAGGGTGAGGGATGAAGGTGAGTATGGCAAGGAGGCTGTGGATAATGACTGACTATAAAGTTGGAGTTGGGTAAGGAGAGACATGAGGATGCACACAAGAGAAGGGTGACAGAAAGGAGAGAGTTACCTCACCCAAAGTGCAAGGTTCTAAGACAGTTTCCTCTAAGAAATGAAGTTGGAACTAGGATGTGAGAAATAAGCCAGAGTTATTCAACTGAAAGATGTGCTGGAGAAAGGTCTAGACAAAAGAACAGGTTGTGCAAAGACTTGGGAGGTTGGAGAGAGCATGTGAGTGAAGGATGGTGGGACCACATTAGAGACAGAAGTAGAGGTGCCCACAAAGGTAGGTTAGAGCTCAGCCAACTTCTGCAAAAGAGCAGGCAGTAAATATTTTAGGTTCTGCAGAACATAAAGTCTGTCACAACTATTTATCTTAGCCACTGTAGTGTGAAAGCTGTCACAGACAATAAGTAATCAAGTGAGCATGCTGTGTTCCAATAAACTTTACTTATGGTCGCTGAAATTTGTATTCTTGAAAATATTTGTCAACCACTCTTCTTCATTCATGAGCCACAGAAAACTAGGCAGTAGGCTGTTTTGGCCAACAGACCGTACACTGATGACCCCTGGTCTAAGGGACCCACAGGGCCATATCAGAGAGAACAGGATACCTGGTCACATATTTTCACTTTATCCTAATAGCAATGGAAATTCTCTGAAGAGTCAGGGCAGGAGGAGTAATATGATCAGGCGACATTTTTGAAAGATCACTCTGGCCAGAGTATAGAGAAGAGATATAAGAGGGGAAAAGAAGGGATGCAGAGAGGATGGTTAAGAGGCAATAGTTATAATCTGGGAATGGGAAGCTGATGATATGTTCAGAAAGAAAAAATTAACATGATATGTTCAGAAAGAAAAAACTGCATGGGGGTAAAAAAAAAAAGATTGAGGACAAAGAACTGATAGAAGTCAGGAAGTGACTGAATGGGTAGGAGTTGGGATGAGAGGGAAGGATCAACCAAGGCTGACAGCAGGCTGCTGTCCTGGATAATGGGTATGTTGTAGTGCCATCCCCCAATAGTGGGAGCACTGAGGAAAGGGCCCAGAGCTGAATGATGCAAAGCTGGGTTCTGAGCATAATGAATGTGAGTGATCTACAAGGCAGCACATGAAAATACTGCAGATAGCAGGAATGAAGGGAATATATGGGTCTGCAGAGGAGGCAAATCTTGAGAGGAGTGGGAAGAATCTGAAAAAGCTGCTGTATGTAATGGGAGAATTGGCTGAAAAAAATAGAAGAACCAGGCAGTACTGACGACTCAGCTTAAGTTGGAACTAATAAGTGAGGTATGTATTTTCTTTTCTTTCTTTTAAAAAAATTTTTTTTTGGTTAGGGGAGGGCTTCTTCCCCTTCTAGACTATAAAGCTCCTAGAGGGCAGGACTTTTTATTGATTTTGATCACTGTTATATGTGGAGCACCTAAAACAATGCAAGGCACATAGTAAGCTTTCAATGAACATTTGTCAAATGAAATTAATTTATAGAGGCATAATTTCTGTGGCAAAACTAGGTTCCAATATTCTTATCTCCTTAGTCAAAACATAATCCTGGTGCAAAGTATTAAAACAAAACACTCCCCACCCCATGCAAATAAAATAAAACACTCACTCTGACATTTCTACCCCATGACAATTCTGATTTTACAAATATTAAGTCTTCCTTTATAACTTAGTTTCTTTAAAAAAAAAAAAAAAACTCCAATATTATATTATCACACTTGGGGAAAGGAGTCTTTGGTTTTGATTTTTTTTTTTTTTTTTAAGATTTATTTATTTATTTATTTATTTGACACAGAGAAACACAGTGAGAGAGGGAACACAAGCAGGGGGAGTGGGAGAGGGAGAAGCAGGCTTCCTGCCAAGCAGGGAGCCCGATGTGGGCTTGATCCTAGGACCCTGGGATAGTGACCTGAGCCAAAGGCAGACGCCCAACAACTGAGCCACCCAGGTGCCCCATGGTTTTGTTTCATTTTTAAACAACACATTTCCACTGTCTGTAATCCCTGATTGTTAATGTTTTATTGCATTTTTATCTCTCCCTGTCCTAAGCAAGTGGGGGGATGCAGGTGTCCACAGATAATCTACATCTCCAGCCCCCAGGCCCTCACAGGCTGCCAGGTTCACAAATCCATGTGGCAACTTGACACCTTCCCTTGGAGGTCTAATAAACAACATATACACCACCACACTCAGGCTGAATCCCTAATCTCTCCTTCTGCCATTCCTGTCTTTCATTCCTCACATCTAATTCTCCAGCAAGTTCTGTCAGACAAATCATACCTCAAATTTTCTCCACGATTACCATCCTGACCCAAGCCATGGTCACCTCCTTGGCACACTGTAAAAGCCTAACTGGCTATTTGTAGCTACTGCCACACCCCATCCATTCTTTACAGAATCAAAACCCTCCCCAGGCTTTCTATCACACAGAGCTTAAACTCCTTATAGCTCAACATGACTGGCCCAGCTTTGTGCCCTGTTGCCCACTGTGTTCTAGACACCTTAGGAAACCTAGTAGCTGTTCCTTTCTTGGGACTGTCTTTCCCCAGTTACTAGGTAGCAGGTTCTTTCCTGTTATTTGGATGGCCTCTCCAATAGCCTCATCTCAAAAAGGTCTTTCTGACTAAACACACCACAGAAACACCTAATCATTTTTCACAACTCAGCCCGTTTTAATGATCTGCATGGTATTTATTAATTGATTTCATCTTCTGTCTCTTCCTACCAGAATAAAGATTCTTGTGAATAATAACCATGTCTATATGGTTCTAGGTGCTGGGGATTCCAGCAGTGAATAGTGGCTGGCCTAGAATGAACCCCATTGGATGAATTATGGTAACACAGGCAAGTTTGTGCAGTGAATAAGAGTGGA